CGATATCGCTCAAACGAGGTTCACCTAAATGTGATATACGAAAATTAAATGAAATCTTTATTTCATAAAATATTCAATCGTTTGTCTAAATCGGAGTCTCATCCCAAACCACTAAGAGCTCTTTTGATTGTTAGTTAACGAACGACACACTGAAATGAAAAGTAATCTGATCACATGTAAAAATTTCAATGAAATCTATGAAAATAATCATACAAAAATGAAACTTTAGCATAATAGTTCACTGAAAACTATCCAAAAACCTGTTTGCTATCGGGGGAAAAAGTATCTTTTAAAGAAATAATAATTTTACTTTCTATAACAAAAATGAATTACACTGTGTTTTTTTAATGCCTTTAGGCATCGCACATAGTCAATGTACAATAGTTGATTGTTACTTGTTCAAATGATATGATGAACGAGAAACAAAATTCACCGAAATGATGATGATGTAAAGTCAATTTATAAAACTTTTTTTTCTCTTTTCTTTTCTTTTCAAAATGATGTAAATTCAACTTGGCATACTATTTATGAAGTGAAATGAAGATAATAGTTACATTGTAACATTTTTTATTCCATAAATACATAGATTTTGAAGTTTTCTCCCTAACAACTGTAACTCATAACATTGTGAAAATATTAAATGTGAATATTTAAACTGAATATTTCGTATTTTATTTTATACTTAATGACAAGCTAAGCAATTCAAGACAGTTAGTTATTTCGTGCTAAATGGCGCTACCTTAAATTGAAACTTTGATGATTTCAAATGTGTAAAAACACAAATCTCCAAAACTCTGCCCCAAAATATCGTAACAGTGCTCACTAGTGACTAGCATCGTGAGGAAATTCTCGGAGTTCTGGTTGAGAAGACGTGACCAATGTGGTTGAACCCTGTCGAGTGTAGGCAGTAACTACCAAAGAAAAGTGGGTGAGGACTCTCAAAACCCGTAAATCAATCAGAGTTAGACATTAATACCGTTGAATGCTGGCCCAGTGGTCCAATGGTTAGGCGTTCGCGCGCGATACCGGAGGTCCCGGGTTCGAGTCCTGCGGTGTGCAGGAGTCAAGGATGCGCACTGCTGATGAATCCCATACCAGGAAAAAACGGCCGTCCAGAGCTTCTAGGTTCCTAATGGCGGTCTAACAATGATTGATTGATGATTTCAAATGTGTGAAACTTTAAGCTAATTTCTACTGCATCAAACTTCAAACTTCATTAATCTACTGAGTCCAGTAGACCAGATACGTGTTCAAAGATTATGATGAACCCTAAATATTTGATAGAACAGTGACAAGACGTAATCTGATCTGAGAAATGTCTTGATGTATTTGCGCACTATACATTTCGAACAACTGGTCACACATTTATACGCTGGTCAAGGCATTTTACATGAAGATGAATAGAAGGTCAATGAAATAAAAGTTCAAACAGACTAATGGTGATAATTGTAATCATGAAGGAGAGAGAAAATTAACGTAATATGAAAAGAATAAGAAAGGGTAGGAAATTGTTACAGTACTATAAGCCATAGAATGGCTTAACGATTACCAGGGTAAATTCAAGGTTATAACAAATTTTTACTGCATACATAAAGGTGGATTTTAATTTTCGAATAGTCAAGGCCTCCATAAAACTCAACATTTATCCTTCAACTTTTCTATACAATGTTTTGAAGGCTGTCTTAATTTCATTGTAATACCCTGTTTCAGTGATGTGTTTTGCGACCGATGAACATGGTTTTCTATTTGCCACGTTAATCGGCTCATCCTAAATAAGATGTTAAACAGAAATTGAATTTCACTATCAACCTGAACTCAAACATACTAACATTGGTATCTTTAGTCATTATTGATACATTTACTCAGTACTGAATACAAGTGAATAATGATTGACTAAACATATTTACAGATTTCAAATACGGGATTATATAGAATCTTACAAGTATTTATGCTTAAATGCTGTATAGTCATGAATTTCAGTTCAGCTGAGTTATACAGTCATAATTCGTTGTATTCCAAACATAAAATTTGATGACAGATCATTCATTTCTAGTTTCATAGTGGAGTTGCGTTCTTTGAGCTCACTGTGGACGCACAATTAAGCTTCGCTTATTTGAAAATAAACTAGCAGTCAAACGAGATGACATTTCTTCCTACACATCATACATGAAGACAGCTGTGGATATACATTCGATTAGAAAATTGTTAAAATACTGGATAGTGAGAGTGAAAAGAATATTAGAGAATTTTTAAGAAACTTGGCACTCAAGTCAATCGGTAATCAACAGGCATGTCGACACCTATCTCATTTTTCAACCAATCAAAATAATCTCAAACAAGGATAGGATCCAGGACCAAATCAAAAGGGGAATACAACCAAAATAAAGGGGCAGACAATGATAGGCTTAAGGTCAAGATTGATGTTAACAGGATAAACAACTAGTTATTTATTGCAGGAGAAATTCTAATACCTCACTTCTATTGGAAGTTTATGTTGATGATGTTGTGGAGAACAATCAAGGCTCCACAACCAAAACATTCAAGTAAGAGAAAGAAACTCCACAGTGATCATCCACCTGAGCTACAAAATTTTCTCCCCTTCTGTTTTTAAAACTATAAAGAAGATAATGTACAACTGTAAACAGCCAGTTCATTATTAGGCATAAAAGGTTTGTGGAGATCGTCGAATCTCATTGAAATGATAAGTCGATCAACGCTAGACCACCATTAGAAACACGGAAACACTGGACGGCGGTTTCGTCCTAGTACAGAACACATGAGAAATGAGCATCCACGACTCCGATCGTGAGCTAACGCTTCACATCTAGACCGCTGAGCTGGCATTCAACACTGTTAATGCCTAACCACGGTCTTACGCAAACTCATCCATCGTGTTCGATGGGAATTGCTTCATACACGGACAGGCGTTGAATCCCACTGAACAATTCTTCTCACTAGAGTTCAGACAACTTATCTCATGAATCTAGTCACTAGTGAGCACATGATAATTTTCACTAATATTCAGTGTAGCACTATATTTCATGATTGAACGACTATCTTCTTTTCATCAATATTAAAATAAGAAAAATGTATATTTCACATGTTAGCAAATAAATTTTCGATTCTGATTAAATAGAATTTCTGTTTTAACTGTTGTATTATTTATGGACAAATTATTTATCCCTTCTACTAGTGGATTCTTTATACTAACGGAAATGTGGAAAAATAATTCGGCGTGAAATCTGATCTGCATTTCGTTTTGACTTAAATTTGTTACAAACTGTAGAAAACGAATTGCATTGCCACAAATTGGACATAAACACTTGCAGTTATTTTTTTGTAAGAGAAAAATTGTCAGAAAATGTTAAATTCTTAAAAATTTCTTGAAATTATGTGTTAATTTCATTTTAATTATGATAAATTTTAAGATTGAATAGAATTTTACTGAATTGCCTAAGTAAATTGACTTGGTCCATCTCACTTTCCAAATAATACAAGTGTTTGTTAACAGTTATGCTAAGCACAATACTTTGGATCTGTTGACTAGACACTAGCAGAAACAAACCGGTTCCCAAGTGAGGAAGAAATCAGCAAGAACTGTTGGATGTGGAAAGAACGCACATTAAGGAAAGCACCCAACTGCGTTGCAAGACAAGCACTCACTTGAAATCCTCAAGGACAAGGGAAAAGACGAATGTCAAGGAACAAATTACTCTGAGAAGAAGAGACAGACATAAGGTGAAATGAATAACAGTTGGACAGAACTAGAAGGGAAGTCTCAGTACAGAGTAGGTTGTAGAATATTGGTCAGCGAACTTTGTTTCATTAGTGGTAAAAGGCATAAGTAAGTGAAAGCAAGATTCGTGTGCGCGTAAGTAAAGGGGTTTGTCTCTGTTGTTCAATGTAATGTTTCGCATCAGTTAATGAGATTCATTTTGTAAATGATGATGATGTTTTTGAGTTCATTCCTTGCTGTTCTTTCTATCAGTTCGGATAAAATACGATGAAGTGATTCCTTTTTTCCATAGTAATTAATAATTTTTATAACGATTATTATTCGGATCCTTGTTATAGGTGCGTAGGTATTTTTCATCTATTAAAAAACACTTTATTTTGTTACACATTTTTGAAACCATGAATCGATCAGTGTTAGACCACTATTAGAAACTTGGAACCAATGGACGGCCGTTTCGTCCCGGTATGGGACTCTTCAGCAGTGCGCATCCATGACTCCTGCACCCCACAGGATTCGAACCCAGGACATTCGGTATTGTGCGTGAACGCCCAACCATCGGACCACTGAGCCAGTATCTAACGGTGTTAATGTCTAACTTGATCAATTCACGAGGTTGCGCAACCTCATACACAGTCTTCGGTAGACACTGCCTACACCCGAACAGGTTGAACTTCACTGGTCACGTCTTCCCACTAGATCTGGGAGAAGATTCCTCACGAAGCTAGTCACTAGTGAGCACAGGTAATTTGTATTACTCCGTGAATTTGATCAAGTTAGACGTAAACACCGTTAGATACTGGCTCGGTGGTCCGATGGTTGGGCGTTCACGCACAATACCGAAGGTCCTGGGTTCGAATCCTGTGGGATTCAGGAGTCGTGGATGCGCACTGTTGATGAGTCCTATACCAGGACGAAACGGCCGTCCAGTTCTTCCAGGTTCCTAATGCCGGTGGTCTAAAATTGATCGATTCATGATTTCATAAAAAAATGTGTAACTTAACAATCTTCACACCCCCGTAATACTTTATTTTGTGTTCTATGAGGTGTATTTTCTGTCTGTTGTCAAACCTTGTGAGGGACTTATTTTTCCTATAAACTTGTAAAGATAGACATTTTGTTTATTAAAAATAGATATTCCAACTTTTGGACACAGAATACAAAGAGACCACAGGAATTCTAACAATCTGAACATGACATCAGTGTAGGAATCGTGTTTCCTAATTTAAAAGAAACTACACAAAAATGTATTGATCATTTATTCAACTTACCGTAAACCACGTGCCATTTCAAATAAATCCACAAGAAATGCTTGTTCTTGCATACTATAATTTGGATCTGTACCTAAACTAACAATCAATGCAATTGTATCAGTATCTTCAGCTTCAGCTTTAGTTTTCGGTTCAAATGTATGACAATTGAAATATGTATGATGACTAAATTTACGTATTTGAAATCCATCCATATGCATACAATTATCTTCAATTTGCATAGTTTGATTAACACGTCGCATACAATTTAAAAATGCCGTTGTATCATGTCCTAGACGATAAGCATCGATCGCTTTTAAATTTTGATAATAAATTGACAAACTATCATATTGATACAGAGTTTCTGCTGTGTCAACATCATTTTCCATAAGAAATTTATTGGTTAAATTACGCATATGTTTATTAAATAAACTCGGTGACATAACATCATGATCACGCCATAAATTGTATGCATTTTGTGAAAATGGATGATGATGGCAGACAGTTAATGCTGGAAATGGTGATTTAGTATCTAAAGCAACGTGTATATTCACTGATACATCATAAACTAAATAATCTTGTACCAATAGATATGTAGTCAACAATAATCCCGCTGTCATTGTTAATACGAAACAAAACCATAAACCACGTAGAAATGGCGGTCCACGTTTCATACGTGCAACACCTCTAATGGAGAATGTATCACATACAATTTCTAAAATGCTAATTTTCTTCTCTGGCTTACAAGATTCTTTCATCGGGATAGTTTTTGGACAATTGTATGTTAATTTATCTTGAGGTGAATGTTGATCATTCATTAGTATAATGTGTGTATTATCATTATTGTCTAACGGTAGCATGATTATCGAACATCATGATAAAAGGAGGAGCATTACAAATACCTATTTATAAAGAGAGAAAAATGAACAGACACAATGTCGTTATTACAAAATACATTTATATCACAGTTACATTGTAATTCAAATTCTAGAAATTAAGCTGTCAAAATGAAGTAAACAGTATTCGGAAGTGTTCACAGTGATATTCAGCAAAATTTGATGATCTTCAGGGAGATTTAAGAAAATAAATGAATATTTCTGATTCATAAATTAGGCTTCAGGGTGTATTAAATCAAATTTGTGATAAGTGTTTGACAATTTTTGGTATCAAGATACACAAAGGGAAAAGTAAGATTACCCGATACCACACAACATGCACCATTCGAATCACACTTGATGAGGACATGCCTTAACGGATGTGTAGAACTTCACATAGTTGGGCAGCATCATTAGTAAACAAGGTGGATCTGAAGTCGATGTTAAGACACAGATTAGCAAAACAAGGGCCCGCATTTCTACAATTGAAGAACATCTTGGACTTAAAACGACTATCAACCAACATTTTTATCAGAAGTTTCAATCCAAATGTCAAAATAGCTCTATTGTATAGGGAGGGGAAATTGCAGAACTGCGAAAGCCATCATTTCGAAGATACAGGTATTCATTAACAGTCGTCTACACAAAATGCTTCTGATCCGTTGGCCAGACACT